TTAAAATTTTATATAAAATATTTATAATTACTCATTTTTAAAGTGTTTCATAAATATTTTTAGAGAATATGTTTAATAGTAAACAAATATTATTAATTTTGTTATAAAAAAATATACTAAATCAAAATAAATATGTTACTCAACAATGTTTTTTGGACAATAATAGTCAATAGTTATCAATAAAAATAAAAATTTGCAAGTTTTAATATGAGCTAATTTTAAACTCGATTTACTAAAAATTTAACTCACCTAGGTTGGCTCACCAACTCGCATAACAAAAAGAAAAGATGTTCAACCCATTAGCTCTAATTTATACTATAAAAGCAACATATAGTCATAAGGATTATTTTCATTTTCATTTTTGTCAAAGTCTCAAACAAAATATTTGAAAATAACCCTCTCCTTCCGCTAGGGTTTCAAGTTTGAATAAAGGAAAATATAGAAGAAAAAATGTTTTATAAATGAAATTGATTAAGTTAAATACAACACTAACTAAATTTTTTAACTAACATGGATTAAATTTATTTTGTTTATATTTGCAGGAGAAATTATCTTCAATTGTGTTGGTTTTAATCAATAAGGCTACCCCTTAATTAATTAAAGTACTTGTACTGAACTAGATAACTTTTATCATGCAAAACAATTATTGATTTGGCTTGAAAATGACTTTATACTACACTTTTAATATGATGACATAGAAACATGTTTTCTATTGCACTGAAGTATGAAGTCAAGCACCACTATACAATTGCAAATTTGATGATATCCCCAACAAGGCAAAGTTAGCCATGCCCTTTAAGAAGCTCATCAAAGAAGGGTTCGAACTGTGTTTTTAAAAATAAAACACTTTATTTTCATTTTTTAAAACAAACATTCATCATAATCACAACTAAAAACTAGTCTAAAATAAAGACATAATTTTAAAATGTAGTGGCCAAAGAGTACATCAATATATTCTTCATGATGAAATTTGAATTTTTTTTTAATTATATGAAACAACTCATTTAATCCACTAATTTGTGGTGGGCTGGAGTACTAGACTTATTTTTTGTTTGCTCACTTAAAAGTGAGTCGGGTTAAGTTGACCCACCAAGTGGCCAGCCTGTGGTGGGCCGAGTCGAGCGACCCGTTTTGACACTATTATCCCTAACTTACACTTTGATGTCTTTTAGAAAAAGTTAACAAGTTATACCTAAATCTAAATGTATTGTAAAAAAAATATTGATATTATAGCTTGCTCATATACTCCTTAAACAACAACTGAGTGTAAACAAACCTCACAAGCATACTAACTTACACTCATTTAAAAAAAAAAGAGTTAATTAACAAACTACACCTAAGCACCTTTTTTTTTTTTAAATGCAATGTAATTATAATTTGTTAACTTACTTAAAAAAAAAACTAAATAAGTGGACATAAATTAACAAACCTTATATACCCATTTATTATTTTCTTCTTAATTTGTGTATAAAAATTTGGTTAAATAAAATACTTTTTTAATTCTCATAATTTCACTTACTTTACCTCTTAGTCTTTATAATTTAAAATATATCTTTCTCAATCCTTTTTAGTCTTATAGTTTAAGATAAATCTTTTTAGTCCCTATATTTAAAGTTTTTTTTTTAATCTTTTTAGTTTTTATATTTGAAGTTTTTTAATCTTTTTAATCCCTATATTTGAATTTTTTTAATCTTTTTAATTCCTATTGTTAAATTATTATTTTTTTGTAAAACTGATTCTTTTATGTTGATGTAACAAAGGTATTAATTCAACTTTATGCATTTGATGTTGAATTTACTTTATTGGAATTACTCTAAAGTAGTTCTTTTAATATTTCGTGTCTCTTTTTTACCTTACTTGCAATGCTCATTCTTGAGATACCTTTTTTTACCCTCATAAAATTGAAGGCTTTTATTAAATCAACACAAAATGGATAATATTACAAAAAAAATTAATAATAAAGATTAAAAAATTATAAAACTGCAAATATATAGACTAAAAATATTTATTTTAAACTATAAAAATAAAAAAATGAAAAAAAAATAAATATGACAATTAAAAATATATATTTAAATTATAGAAATTTAAAGATAAATTAAAATTATAGAAATTAAAAAAATATTTTAATCTAAAAAATTTTAATCTGCCATCATGTTGGGAAGAACGATAAATTAGAGCGTTTATAGATTACCCTCGGAATCAAACATATGCCGAGCTTTTTCTACTAATTTTATTACTTTTGGCCAACAAGACCATCGTTAAATTCTTCATTTTCTGTATGTGGTTTTGAAAGACACCCTTTTCATTTAATGAGACTTTAATGGGCAAGTGTTTCACACCTAACCTAACTTAGTGTTGCACGTGATCTAGCCTAGGTACTTCAGAATATTTAACTTAGCTTTTATGATACATCATGTATGTTTAAAGAGTGAAACTATATCTCGTGTAGGAGAGGGTATGGACCACATAAATTTGGCTCAGATTCAAAAAGCATTGGAATGATCACATTGTATGCAACTCCATGATTAAAAGGTAAAAGAGACAATACCACATACCTTATTAATCAATGGAAATATATTGTGATTAGTCCTTTATTAAAGTATTTTAAACATAGTAAGCTTTGGCAACAAGACCAGATTAAACTTTTGAAAAGAAAGTGATTATAAAAACACTTTCTTAAAAAAAATATTTTTTCTCTAAAAAGTAGATAAAATTTATTTCTAAAAAAATAAAAAATTCTTATTTTTAAAATCAGTAATTTAGACAAACACTAAAAAAAATACTTATTTCATTTAAAAGGAGATTTTTAAAAGAAAAAAAATAAATGAACCATTATTATTTATTAATAAGTTTCATTAGAATGTATGTTTCATGTGTTACTTAATTTATAAGAATCATAATTTTTTATGAGAAAAAATATATATGGAGAATGTTACCTCCATGATTACCAAGTAAGAAGTCAGACACATGTTAAAAATTCTCAAACCAAATATCATTATTTACTTAGCAGTTAATTGAAACTCAATAATATTTAATTTAACTCAATATTTTATTTGTCGAATTGGAGATCAGTAGAAATTTATCATAGAAATTTCATTTCTAATATCAAAAGACCTCTTTGAGTAAATATGTCACCAAAGTAAGATTTTATAATAACAAAAAGTGTCGAGTTTGTTTTATGAGATACATAAGTTCAAACTGAATTTTATATTATTTGTGTCAACATATAATAAATAAATGGTTTATGTAATAATTAATTTGAAAGTTATATTTAAAATTTTGAAATGACAATAATTTTGATGTAATGGTCGATTTTGTGAAACAATTATACATATTTTCTTTATAACATAATTTATTATTGATTTAAAATTTATTAAAAATAATAAATTTTTAAGTTTCGCATCTTAATTAACAAGTTTTCCAATTTAGTGAGAGGGCTTGTTAAAACTTGTAATTTTTAATCAAAAATTAAAAAATATTAACAAAATAGGATTAGAGAAAGTTAGTCAATATTTTTTTATGAACAGTGCTCTTTTTTATGAGATTGGTAGAAGGGGAATGGTTTTAGAAGATTTTGTTGATATTGTTGTTGTGATTCACCTTTAAACTTTGAGTAGTGATGCCTCCAAACACTTAGTGGAAAGGGAAGGAATTAATGGCCAATCAATTATCGGTAAAACTTGGAGTGCAGTGTAGTTTTCTATTTTCTTCCTAATTTTGTTTAAAGATTCTCATAAGAACCCAATGGGTCTCTTTCTATGAATGAATCATTGAGCTCAAATAGTTGATGTTATTCCAAAGATAGTTGGGTAGCACTTATCACAGTTCAAACGCGTAGCCAATCAAAAATTCTATTGCAATTCAAGAAACCTTTTGGCCTATGAATTTGAAAGGCACATGCACTTATATTGGTAAAATTCTATTTTCAATGTGAATTTTTCCGCAATTACCAGGAAACATTTTAATTTAATTTACACCGTTTGACATGAAGCTTTTTGAAGAAACAAGAGAAGGTACAATATATATGGAAATGGCAACAACCTTGGACGTTTGTGTTAACTCTCAAAAACAAAGATTTTTCGCATCCAAACAAAAACATCAATGATGACAGGCAACACCACTCCCAAGTCATTTTCATATGCAGTGTACCCACATGGCCTTTTAACTCACATTGCTTCAACGAAACACACACTCTCCTTGCAACCACTTATGACAAGAAAAATGTTTTTTTTATTCATGCAACTTCACTCTCATTATAGTATGACTAAATTGCATTTTCTATACTCGCTTAACATTTTGGTATTTCAATTTTAATTTTGTAATTTTAATTCTTTAATTTTTATAACATTTATAATTTTTTTGTTTTGTTACTAAATATTTATTCATCGATTGTTCAAATTGTAAATTGATTATGACATTCCATTAAATAGATGATATGATAATTAATATATAATAACATTTATATTAAATGTCACTTTTAATTCTCATTTAATCATTTTTTTTTTCTAATTTTATCACTTTTATGTGATAAAAATAAAAATTACAAACAAAATTTAGCTTAAAAATTAGAGTAAATTATGTTATACTTCCTTGAGAAGTGAAAGTTTTATACTACTATTTTTTTCTTAGAGTTAATTATCTATATATTATCAATGTAAAAAATTTATACTAGTAGTCAATCAGAGCTATTAATAATATCTTTTCATCTGTTATTTATAGGAGTCTGAACTGACCAGAATGACCCGTTTCAAATCTAGAACGGATCATTCTCAAATTGGAATGGATCGTTCTAAACTACTAAATAGGCTTATAAATTTTGAATTGAAATAAGCCGATCTAAAGTGATTATTATGAATTAAATTCAACTCTAAAATAAACCGTTTCAGTTCTTGAACAACATGTTCTAAACATGCTAAAACGGCCATTCCGATTTAAGATCTCATTCTACATGTGAATCTTATCCGTAAGGAAGGAACCCGGTATAGATATGATTAGACTAATAATGCAAAGATGTTTCATTTTTAAAACTCTCGATTAGATACACTATTTCACTAATCCAGTGTATATTGAAAAGCAATTATGATAGGTACGGCCTTTCTTTTCCACCAGTATTAATAATACAAAAGTATCATCACCCATCTAGGGTGGTGCGGACCGAGCAGAAATTACACCCAGAAATCATGACACACAGAAATTACACCCATGAGTACTATCCACTCTTACACGCAACACACAATTTCCTCTGCAGTAGTCGCGCGTGCCTCTGCGGTGGTCATCTTGACCAATAAATTTATATCTTAATGATTATTAAAAATGAGAATATAGAAAAGATATATTTTTTTATAACGTAGATATGCTGCTGCAGGATTCTTCAATTGTTTTCAGAGGAAAAATACTAAAATAGATCCCACAAAATAAAATATCTTCCCAGCCAGTTGTGATGTCCAGAACGCTCATGCCTGGTCTACAGCAACCCCCACATTCTCTTGAGTTCCCACCAATGAAAATTTCAATCTCCTACCAAGAAAAATCTACCACACACAAATTCAAAATTTAACATCGCCCTCAGCGGTGGGAGTCTTAGACGCATTCGTTTCATACATGACTAAAGTCCCGTGTCCCTGTGTCTCCTCCTCATCCTCGTATTAGTAAACATAAATTAAAGAGAAATAGAAATTAGAAACAAACACTCTTTTACCACGATTCTTGTTGATTCCTCTCACTACGAAAACAAATCCCATCAATATAATAAAATAAAAATATTTATACAAGTTGAGAGGTCAACAACCACCCCCACCATCGGCCAACAGAATCTTTGACTTCCAGCATCCAAAAAAAAAGAAAAAGGTCATTCGGTGGTGGGCGTGGAAGAAGCATTGGGCTCAACCTTCCTCAACTGAATCCCGTGCCTATGCGTGTCGTCATCCTCATAAGCATAAGCGAAGCCTCCATGGCGCGTGAGATCCATTCCCGCCAGCTCATCCTCGGCGGAGATCCTCAACAGCTTCATCTTATTCAAGGCCCAAAACAAAGGGCCCATGGTGGCACTCACCCATCCAACAATAACCAAAATCTGAATCACGTGCGCCCCCAACAACTTCCCTCCTCCCCCCATGAACAGCCCGTGCGGCCTCCCACTCTCTCCACCGTAAACCTCGTACACATACTCCTTTTTAGCGAACAGCGCCGTGAATATAACCCCCCACGCGCCGCACCCTCCGTGCAACTGCGCCGCCTCCAACGGGTCGTCGAATCCCACCTTCTCCGCGAGTCTGTTGCACGCGATCAGCACCACCGAGGCAATAAACCCGCACACGATCGCCGCCCACGGCTCCACAACCGAACAACCGGCTGTTATCGCGGCAAAGCCACCTAACAAGCCGTTGCAAACATCGGTCACATTCCAGTGACCGGAGATCACCCGTTTCCCGAATAAGGTAGTCAACGCAGCCGTTGACCCGGCCAGAGTAGTAGTAACCGCGGTTCTCCCAACCGCGCTCCACTGACCGTAGTAACTCCCTGAGTCACCGTAGGTGACTAGGATTTTGTTGAAGGAGCCAGGGTTGAAACCGTACCAACCGAACCATAGCATGAAGGTCCCGAGGACGACAAGGGAGGCGCTGTGCCCGCGGAGGGCAACGGCGCGCCCGGCGTGGTCGAACCGCCCGATTCTCGGCCCTTCGATCAGCGCTCCCCAGAGTCCGGCCACGCCGCCGACCATGTGGACGACGCCGGAGCCGGCGAAGTCGATGACGCCGGTGGAGAATAAAAGGTTGTGGGTTTTGAAGGCGGAGGCCCAGCCGTCGACGGACCAGAACCAGTGCGACACGACGGGGTAGACGAAGCCGGTGAGGAAGGAGGAGTAAATGAGATACGCCACGAACTGCGTGCGTTCGGCGATGGAGCCGCTGGTGATGCCGGCGGCGGCGATGGCGAAGGCCCACTGGTAGAGGAAGTTGCTGTAGTCGATGGATTCGGTGGGAACGTCTTTGAGGCCGAAGAAGTGTTTCCCGATGAAGCCGTTGGAGGGGGCGCCCCAGGCGAAGGCGAAGCCGAAGAGGTAGTAGAAGATGCCGCCGGCGGCGGCGTCGAGGACGTTGGTGAGCATGATGTTCATGGTGTTCTTGGCGCGGACGGAGCCGGCGCAGAGCATGGCGAAGCCCAGCTGCATGGAGAAGACGAGGTAGGCCGAGAAGAGGAGGTACGTGCTGTCGACGGCGAAGGCCGTGTCGTTGAACTTGTTCCCCACCGCGGTGAACTGGTCGCAGATGAGGGCCGCGGCGGCGCTGGCGTCTGAGGCGTTTGGGCCGAGGTGTTGGGCCAGTTGGGCGGCGGGACAGGCCTGCAGGGACATGGTGGGAGTGGAAGTGGAAACGACGGCGTTTGAAGGGGAGCGGAAATAGGCTAGTTGGGCGCGCGTTTTAATTAGGAGGGTGTGGAGTGTATATATAGAGAAAGTGGGAGATTGAGTTCAGAAGTTGAAGTCAAACTGTGTGCGCTTGAGAGTAGGACTAGGAGATGATATGATGAGAGAGAAAGTGGACTTTTCAATGCCTCAGATTCCTCCAAATTCACATTAATCTTCCGCATGCTCTCTACTCTCTACTACTGCTCTATATATAATTATTATTATTAGCCGTGCATAGATTGGATGCTCTTGCTCTATAATAAACTTTAATAATATTTTTTATTGATATTATAATTAATTTTCGATATTTGAGAATTTGATTTTAAGCTTTATATACGTATCACTTTATTTCATATTCCTTTTCTTAGAGAATATAATTATATAAAAGAATATTTTATTATATCTATACACTTGAATTTCCCTTGTATTTGTCATTTTACAGTTATTAATTATTACATAATGTGTTATTATATTTTCCAATGTTGCAAAATTTGAATACATGTTGTATAAACATTTGCATCTAATTTTTTTCTCCTAATTTGGATATAGCTGTAGTATTTTCCTTTTTCTCTTTTCATTTCTCCACTATATAAGAAAAGTTAAATAAAATGTTATTATGACAATAATAGAGACAGTATCTTAATTTTTATATTTTACCTATTTTATTCTTCTAATTATGTTTAATAATTTATTGTATTTTATTTAATTAATGACAATTTCAGTATTTTAAATATCGCAATTAAATAATATTATTCACATTAGTTTTAAATGCATGAATTCAAGTCTCGAGAATGTTTCAAATGTACAAATTCAACTTTTAGTACAAATAAAAAACTTAATTTGAAGAAAAAAACTATTTGAAAATCACCTCAAAAGATTGAAGAAGTCACATATGTTTAAACTTGAAAACAAATACTTAAACAAAGAGTTATGAAACTTAACAAAGAAAAACTTCATGGTTAAAAGAGACTATTGCAACTCTAAAAGAACTAACATAACTCTTAAGCATAAGATCTTAGTCTAGAAATCTCAATATCATGTCCAATTAGAGCCCAACCATTGCATATCACAAGACGCATGCCTCATTACAAACATTATCATCCAAATGATTAGGGGTGACAAAACGGATAAGTCCAGTTTGCATAAAACGCTCCACTTGCCAAACAAAAAGGGGTTAGATGCTTTGGTCCGTCTCACCTAAGGGTGGGTTGGTTTGACAACAGGCCAACTAGTAAAAAATAAAATAAATAAATAAAAGAAAAAAATGAAAAGAAGAGAAATTTGCATATTTATTTTGGTTACTTCTTTCAACATATTACTTTCTCAATATCTAAAAGACTCATATAAATTAGTTTACCTAAATAATAAAATAAATCTCAAATTACAACATATTTTGTTTGATTTGTTGCACAAAAAATCTCATATTTGTTGCATAACAAAAAATATATATATATATATATATATATATATATAATTATAATATTAATAGTTCTTCTAATAGATTTGTTGCACAACAAATTTCAAATTACATATATTAAAATAAATCATATTCACAACAAATTTGTTGCACAACAAATCACATAATACACATATAATAAATCTGATGTGACTTGTTTAAATTTAACATTAAAAATAACAAAAATAAAAAATCCCTTGTAACATTCTAGATTTTCAGTAATAATAGAAAATAGGTTGTTTTTAATAAAAAAAAATTATATTATGTGCTTAATTAAATTCATTAATTGAGTTTATAATATACAAATGTTTTTATTTATTAAATAAAATAAAAACAGGGTGTGAAAAGGAAGAAAAGTTTGGGTTAGATTCTAAACCCAACATGAAGACTTTTAAAAACAAAAATAAGGGGTTAGGTTTTCTAGATTTGTGAAGAACAAAATAATCGATTAAACTATTTTTAGTGAGTTTTCATATTTTTGAATAACAAGTAATTGATTATTTCATAAAGAAAACTCTATATAACATTTTTCATTTTCAAAAATTCATATAACTCATATTTTATGTTTTCTAGATATCGTAGTGAGCTTCCAATTTGAGTTTCCTTGATAGAAGAGGTTGAAAAACTGAGTATTACTTTTTGTGGGTTCTTCTATCATGAATCAAGAAAATTGAATCACCATCATCAATCTACATTAAGGGTTTAGACTCCATGGTTTAGTCTTTCACCTATTCAATTTATTATATATATCAAGTGATATCTTTCCATTTTTTTTCTTTGTTCTTAAGTAGGTTTCTCAAGGTAGAAAAGTTTCTTATAGTGGGTATCTACAAGAGTTACTTCTTGGGGTTCAAGAAGTGAGTTTCTTTAATTTTATAAATTGAATTGCATGTGATTTGTGATTGTAAAGCTTTGGATGTTAATGATTAGTGAAAATACTCAATCAAGTTGATTGGGGGCTGGATGTTGGTCACAGTGGTGGTGGCTGGACCAATATAAATCTTTGTACAAGTTTCTCTTACCTTTTACTTGCTTGTTTAATCTGAATAAATGTTCATTGATCTATGTATTGAATCAAAAGCATAACATGTAGGGTAGTTTGATTAAGACTTGCATATTTTAACCTTCAACACATTTCTTCCAATAAGGTTAAGATCAATTGATTTAGCTGAAAATATTAAGACAAGTGTTTGTCTAGGAAAGGTTTTGAAAGAATTTTTTGTAAATCCAATTCACCCCTTCTTAGATTAATCATCCTTAATTTCAAACATTAAAGGGGAGTGATATAATTCCATCCATGGGTGCATATGAAAGGTACGAGTAGTGAAACAATCTCTAAACCTTTTAGGTTCTCTAATTTAAATTTTGTAAAGGTGTATGTGAGCAATTTGTATTGTAGTATTATATTTATTTAGTAAATTTTTGCATGAATAATGATTAATTTGATATAATGATGTATTGGTATGGGTTGGGGGTTAGTGTTATATGCACGAGTTAGGGGGTCTTGATTTGATTGGATGAATTTGAGTAAATTGATGATCCCGTGTGGTTTTGGATGTGATATAATGTTGTTTGACCAATTGAATTAAGGAAAGGAGTGAATTGTTGATGGGATGTGAGTCAACCTTGGCCAACTATAACACTATGAATGGATCCCCTAGAAGATTAGAAGAGTAATGGAGTTAGTTGAGTGGATTTGACTACCTTTCACTCCTCCACTAGATTCATCAAAGAGGTTTATGGTTTGAGGACTAATAAAGAGGGAGGGGATGATGTAATCACGCCTAGGGTTCAAATACAAAAAAAGGCAAGAAAAGTGGGCTAGACTTGAAGAAAGAAGGTCCAAAGTCATGTTGAGATTTAGATTACTTTTAGTAGTCCATTTTCTCTTTGTAAATATTTCTTGGTAAATGTTTTCTTTCATCTTTGACCTTGTATTTTTGGGCTAAATAGCTTAGGAATTTATTTCCTTGTAGTTTTCTTTGTAGAAGTGTATTTAGTATTTTAGAGGGATGGGGAAGGGTGCAACTAGTATTTGGAAAATGTGCTTATTAGGCTTGTTTGGACCAAAAGAGAGTGGGAAACCTTTTTCACAACATGTTGGATGTCCACTTTGTCCCATGTGTTCTCTCATTTGTTCACACATCTTTAACAAGTACATGTTTGACACACTAGTTACACTTTTGTATGTTTGCTTTTACACCTCCTTTTCTACTAACACACTGCATCACACCTTTTGCACATTACCATATGACAAGCTCTTATTTGTTTTTCTAACTCTAGGATGTTGACATCACTTTTGGAGGGAAATTCAAATTTGAATTTCAAATTTGAACTAGATTTAGTTGGCTTGAGTACAAGTTAACGTAGCCTTGGATATACTTAACCTTGATTAGTTTAACTTGCACCACAAGCTAGAAAACTCCATGTATAGGTCGTAGCATGTATAATCATGTCACTTTTGATGTTAATGAGAATTGAGATTGTTTTTTCCTCATTTTTTCAATAGTTTTAGAATTCCTTTCTTTGAGTGCAACTCCATTTGCATCTCTTATCAAGGATTCTTTCCTTGTGGTAAGACTCGTCTCGTGGCTTATCTTCCTCTTGGAATGGCACCACCATTTTCTATTCTCCTCAATCATTTTGAAGTTTCTTATTCATCAAAGACCTTATGGATGAAAGATCAAGGGAGAAGGAAGCAGTCTAGAGGAGAAATCAGTCCTCCTTGAATCTTAATTAATTCCATCAAGTAATATTCATACTAGATAGATCAACTATGAGAAAGCTTCATAATAATTATGCAAGTTTTATACGCACTTCTCATGGCAACCATAGTAGAGTAGTCCTTCGCCTTGAAGTCATTAAGAATCCTACGTGTAGGAGTTGTAGGCTTTAATGCTATCAAACATTATTCAAAATAGGGTAATTATATAGGTAGTTAATTAAGCCTACAATGAATCACGTGGATGGGTTGTACGTGTGTGATGTAGAAAGGATTCGTCCTTTCTGCATAATGGGATTTATATATGTCTTGAATCTCTCGATAGAGTGAGACGTAAAGTATGTGTGACCATAAGAGAATGAACCAATATGAGATATTTGACCTATTAATGTTTAAACATCTACTTGGGTATTAAGAAATGTATTACTAAACTTAAAAGAATTACACTTTTATATCTCGTGTTCAAATGAAAAGCAAATGGATAAAGAAACAAATTACTCTATAATAATTATGATTGTAAAAGGTAGAAATCAAATCATCGATTTTTATCATTAATAAGGTAGCAATAATGTATTACTAGATGTCAATATTTGTCTATAAAATTTAATAAATTATTCACATGATATTTAAATATTATTGTAAATTAAGTGAAAACCTATGGTATCACGTGCATTGATTAAAAACCTAGAGCAAATCATTAAATTAAATGAAATTTGATTTAATATTTAATTAGTTAAATAAGATTTAATTAATTGACAAAAAATAATTAAATATGATTTAATTAAATTGGACATGTACAAATCCAATAAGGACATAAGTTAGTATAAACCTAATTTTTCCAATAACGTAAAAATTAAAGTTCAGTATCATCTCACAAAACTACTTATTCTGTTTGTGACTAGTACCAAATTCCGTTCTAATATTGCTCATGTAAATTAAGTAGAGACACTACATTTTTTTTGTGTGTTTGGTAATCAAAAGATTATTACT